CCCGGCAAATGACCTCATATTTCAGATCCAGTTTTCACCCCACGGTAGGTCCTACTGGAAAGACACCTGGAATTTGCTTCAGGGACCAGGCTTAACCCGCTCCCCCCTTTGGGGACCCCTGGACCTGCTGGGGTTGGACCCCAGCATCGGTAGAGCATGAGACTCTTATCTCAGGGTCGTGGGTTCGTGCCCCACGTTAGGCGCCAGATGCTAGGGTCCAACCCAGCAGGTCCAGGGGTCCCCAAAGGTGTGGACGGAGTCGGCGAAGAAGGAATGACACGGAGACAGCAGCGTTCAGTTGATCAGCAGCCTAGCCAGGATCTCTAGCCAGGAACTCCAGCCAAGTTCTGGTCAGGATCTCCAGCGAAGTTCTGGCCAAGTTCTGGTTTTTATTGTCTTGTTACATCTGTATTTATACCAGTTGATTTTAATCCTGTCAATTTCTATTGCAAAGGTTAGGGTGTTTCTTATCTCTATTCCAGGGAGTAAAGATTATGTAGCTTAAGTGTAATTGTTTGTAGTTAAAGTGATTAACTACCCGCCTGGCACTTAGTTAAGGGGTTGTATCCCCTCCCTAACCTCAGGGAAAAATCCCCACCTGGGGAAACAACCTTTCTCGGAGAGGTGACCTTGATTAAAACACACAGCGCTAAGGGGAGCAAACATATTAAGAACAGTATGCCATATATGCCAGGTCCCTTGAAACATATGCTGTGCAGATGTTTCTTTACTGCAGCGACTGTGTCAAGCACAAGGATGGACCGGCTTCCGGCAGGCTAAGGGGTCATCTACCCTTTGCTGATAGGGAAACTGAGGCTCAGAAGGGGAACATAGCTGGTTAACTTAAGCCAACCCAATGATTAAGCGCTAGGGATGAGGTTTGAACCCATTCACCCTACCAGAGCCCATGCCCCAACCCCACTTCAGGTCCTCCCAAAATGGCCAGAATTCCGAGGTGGCCCCAAGAATCTTGCCCCCGTGTACACACCCCGTGTAACCTCCTTGAGTGTGTGTAGGACCTTATTTGGTAAAAAGTGGAGAGGGCTTTTTCAGATGAAATTAATGTTCCCAAATCAGTTGACTCTGAGTTGACCCAAAAGGAGATTATGGCGGGTGGGCCTGACCTAATCAGGCAAGCCTTTTGTAACGGCCTGGGGAGCAGCCAACAACCCTGAGTGAACTGCTCATGGAGTGAGCCATGTGGCGAGGACCTGGGGGGGCAGCAAGAAAACCGGGAGCCACAGGGCCATTGGACCAGGAGGGGTCAACCTTGGGGCTATTTATTCCCTGCCTTCTCTCCACAAACATTTCTCATCCACCTGCACTGGCAAAGCGTAGGGACTCCACCAGGGACCTCCAGGTCTGTCCCCCTATCTAGCTCTGCCCTGTCCTCCACGGTCTGTCCTCCCCAAAGTCACCAGAGGGCGCCTGTGAGCACCCACTCTGTTCTGCCCACGGCCTTCAGGGCTCCCACAGCCCTGGGAGAAAAGCCCAAGTCCTGCCCTATCTATCATCTCCTCCCGTCACCTCCTCCCTCTATCCCCCTCACTCATTCCACTCCAACCACACAGTTCTCCCTGCTGTTCCCCGGACGTGCCGTGCGGGCCTGGCCCAGCATCATGGCCTTGGCATGTGCTTTTGCATGGCCTTTGCATGTGCTGTGCCCGCTTCCTAGTTATGTTCCTCTGGCTCATTCTTCCACCCAATTCTGGCCTTTGCTTCAAGGTCACGTCTTCCAAGAGGCCTCCCCCGACCTCCCTGGTCCAGGAAGCCACCTCATCCCTCCCTGCTTACGGTTCTGTTCCTGCTTACGGTTTTCATTACCTTGTTTTATGTCACCAGCCATTACATCACACATCTAAGTGTCGTTGTTTAATCCCTGTGAGCTCTGCGGCATGGACACCAGGCCCCTTGGTCCCGGCTGGGTCGCAGTGATTTGAACAGCACCAGCCACTTAGTAACTGATGAGAGACTGCGATATTTATTGAGCACCTATGGTTTGCTAGGTGATGGTCTGGGCACTGGGTACATGACAGGGACGAGACAGACACTCCCTTCCCCCACCCATCAGGTGGCCAGCCTGGTGGGACAATAGATATGAATCAGATGATCACACAACGGTTAATCAGAGCCAACACTGATGTGGCATTTGTTGTCTGTATACCAGGTAGTAGTACTCTGTTAATCAGTCCTCACCACTGCCCTGTGAAGGTGATACTGTACCATTGATATCCTGTAGTAAAAATGGGGAAACTGAGGCACAGGGAGGGTAAGGGTCTCCCCAGGCCCCGCGGTCTGATAGATTATTCCAGGAATAGTCCTCGTGGCCCAGCCTCCCATGCTCCTATGTAATCCTCTTGTCCTGACTCAAGCCTGGTCATGTGCCGCATGCGGCTGGAGGGACAGCAGCACGTGTGACACATGCATTTGAAGTGCTCATGTGTCAGGACCTGCCTGCCTGCTGCTCCTGGATGCCCACGGGTCCTTCAGGAGGAGGAGCCGGCCAGTCTGGCAGTCGCCCCGTCAAGGGCAGCCAGATTTAGTAACTACACATACAGGATGGCCAGTTACATTTGAACTTCAGAGGAACAATGAGTGATTTTTTCAAGCATCCATATGTCCCAAATATTGCATGGGACATGCTTATACTAAAAAAGTCATTTGTGCCCTAGCTGGTTTGGCTCAGTGGATAGAGCGTTGACTTGTGGACTGAAGGGTCTCGGGTTTGATTCCGGCCAAGGGCACATGCCCGGGTTGTGGGCTCGAACCGCAGTGGGGAGCGTGCAGGAGGCAGCCGATCAATGATTCTCTCGCATCATTGATGTTTCTATCTTTCTCTCCTTCTCCCTTCCTCTCTGAAATCAATTAAAAAATTATATATATATATATAAAATATATATAATATATTTATGTCATGTGTTGCCCAGCCAGCATAGCTTAGTGTCTGAATGTCAACCCATGAACCAGGAGGTCATGATTCAATTCACCGTCAGGGCACATGCTCAGGTTGCCGGCTCAATCTCCAGTGTGGGGAGTGTGATCCCCAGTGCGGGGTGTGAAGAAGGCCGCCGATCAATGATTCTCTCTCATCATTGATGTTTTTATCTCTCTCTCCCTCTCCTTTCCCCTCTGAAATCAATAAAAATATGTATTTTTAAAAATCTGCTATTATAGCCCTTGCTGGTTTGGCTCAGTGGATAGAGCGTTGGCCTGCGGACTGAAGGGTCCCGGGTTCGATTCCGGCCAAGGGCACATGCCCGGGTTGTGGACTCGAACCCCAGTGGGGAGCGTGCAGGAGGCAGCCGATCAATGATTCTCTCGCATCATTGATGTTTCTATCTTTCTCTCTCCCTCTCCCTTCCTCTCTGAAATCAATAAAAAAAAAATCTGCTATTATAAAAAAAGTTATTTGTTAATTGGCCTAAAATTTACATTTAACTGGTGTCCTGGGTTTTATCTCACAACCCTGCCCCCTCATCAGATCATCCGATGGCAGCCCTGACTCCACATGCATGAGAAGGGTTCCCTCGAGGCATGGCCTCCTGAATACCCCACGACCCTGCAGGAGTCAATTAAACAAGAACGATGCTCAGAGGGAAGGGAGGGGGTGCTGCAAAAAGTGCTGAGAAGCAGGCCTGGGAGGGAGGAAGGGAGCCAGGGTTCTGGCATTTTAGTCAGAAGCTCGGTTTGTATTTCAGCCTTTCTAATGGCCTGGAGAAAACGCTCCTCCCTTCTCGGATCATAATACAGCGAGCCGGGAAGCCAGGGAAAAGCATCTACAGCTCCCAGGAACGAGCGAGGGGCAGCCCGGGCCCGCAGATACAAGATCTGAGAAGTGCCGCCCACTGGACCGCCCGGTTTCGTTTCACCCTGAGAGTCCCTCCACTTTGCAGACAGACCCGCCCTCCTGTGGGAATTCCACTAAGAACTTATTTAGACCTTTCACCAAATACCTCCTGGGCAGCCAGTCGGGCAGGTGGATAGAATTCTCTCCCTGCTTTCCAAGGGGGCTGCCTCATTAAAAGAATTAAAATGAAAAAAACATTTGAAAAACAAGACAATTCCAGGGATCGAACTTCTGGCCTCCTCAGGACATGCCAGTCGGGACAAGTCAAGAGGACATTGCATTTTTAGGGCACTTCAAGTTTGTGGGGGTTTTCTTTAATCCTCACCTGAGGATATTCTTCCATGGCTTTTAGAGAGAGTGGGAGGGGTGTGTGTGTGTGTGTGTGTGTGTGTGTGTGTATGTAGAGAGAGAGAGAGAGAGAAAGAGAGAGAGAGAGAGAAACATCGATGCCAGAGAAACACATCTATTGGTTGCCTCCTGCATGAGCCCCTGCCGGGCCAGGGATCAAACCTGCAACCAACGTACGTGCCCTTGACTGGGAATCGAACCTGCGATCCTTTGGTGTGCAGGCTGACACTCTAACCACTAAGCAAACCGGCCAGGGCCACTTCTAATTTTTTAAATCCTCCCTGATGGTTCCCAACAGCCTTCTTATGCCTTCAAGAGAGCCAATACTCCCCCCACCGTTTATAGTGTTAAGATACACATAACAAAATTTACTGTCTTAACCATTTCTAAGTGTATGGCTCAGTGGCATTAAGCACATCCACACTGTCGTGCAGCCAACCCCACCATCCGTCTCCAGAACTTTCTCATCTTCCCAAACTGACACTTTGACCCCATTAAACACTGACCCCTCCTCCCCAGCCCATCACCGCCATCGACTTTCCGGCTCTGTGAATCTGACTCCTCTAGGCGCCGCCTGTGAGTGGAATCACACAGCTCTTGCCTTGATCAGCACGGACCGATTGCAGAGCAATGCCTGACTCCGTGGGATAGACGGCGTGGGTTACTGAAGATGGTCACCCCACAAGCACTGATGGAGCACCTGCTGCATTCCACGTGCTGGGGACGCTGTGTGACCCCGACAGCCCCGTGCGGTGGGGTGAAGGCCAGAGGTTCCGGTGGGAGCAGTGAGTGTCACCAAGAGAAATGAACCAGAGGGAGGAGGGTTTATTTCACGGTGGAGGTGGACAAGCAGTTTGGGGGGAACAGAAGAACCCCTTTAGCCCACAAATCAAGCCCTTGTTCTGCAGGTCATGTGCTGTCCCCGGGGCCTGCAGGGCAGTGCGGAGGCCCTCAGACTGGGTGCTCAGGTTTCCTTCCTCAGACTGGACGGTTTCCCAGGGGTGGAGTGGGGGCACGTCCCCCTTCTCAGATTGGGACTTAGAGGGGGGCCGAGGGTGCCCCTCCGCAGACCGGCAGCTCCTCAAGGTGCCAGGACCCATGCCCCCCCTACCCAGCCTCTCTGCCCTCAGACTAGTGGGAGCAATGACAACTGGAGTGGGGGAGGGGAGCGGGTCTCCTTTCTTCTTGGACCAAGAGCGTTTGGCAAAGTCCTAGGAGCAGGAAGAATTGACAGAGGTCCCGTTTCATCCCCAGCTTTAGACCCAGAAAAAGCAGAACAATTTCTCTAGGAAAATAAAATCAGAAAAGAAAGCCCTCGGGTCAGGGCGCACACCCATCCTCGGATTGTGGGTTTATCATTTGTGGTCCTCGGATTGTGGGTTTAAACGGGGACCTGTTTCCTAAAGCGGGGGGACTAGGGGCTGGTCTTGGCAGTTCCCAGAGGGTCAAGGTGCCCCCGTCTGCAGGCTCAGTCCTCATCTTCACTGGCATAGACACCGGCTTCCCAGCGTTCGGCCATCGCGTTCTTGTGGCGGGTCACCCGCGTGGCTTCCAGGACCTGCAAGAGGAGGTACAGAGTCCCCATGAAAGTCCTAACCTCCCCCCGCCCCGACTGCCAACTCATAGGCTAGGCTTAGAACAGGGGCAAAGCAGGGCCACCCCCTCCTCTGTTTCAGACCTTCTACTCCTACTAATAGCACCAAGGGATGTGCTAACTCGTCGGAGCTCCACGGCAGGGGAAATATCTGGGTCTGGCTTTGTAGGCTCAGCTCCAAGATGGCCCCAAATATGTTCCACAAACCCACTGAGGTAGCGGGCCTTCTCCACACTCTCAGATGAACCCCTCCCTCAAAGAAAACGCCCTTGCCTTGGGCCCAATCTGTTCCGAAACCTTCATCATTTGACAAAGAAGCTGCAAGTGCACCCATTTTACACAATCTGTGCCCATGCAGGCATCACAAGCAGATCTGAGCAGAATCCACCGCGGGAAGACACTGCCAATCAGGGAGCTACCCAGTGACGTTTTCACATCCCAAAGAAAAGCTTTTGATGGCCCTGGTGCCATGGGGCCGGGGGCTCAGACAGGGTAGGAGAAGACAGTCCTGGCCCCAGGAGCACACTCACCTCCGAGTTGACGTGGTCCAAGGGGTTGATGCCGGCATACTACAGGAAAGGAACATGCGTCAGCCCTGGCCTTCTGGCCCTGCCCCACCCCAGAGCCCGCCTGGAACTCGATGCAAAGTCCACTCAGTCACCCCTTGAGGCAGGAAGGAAGGTTTCCATGCCCTCATGGTCCTCCTGAGGGCCCCTCGGTTACCACAGATGCAGCCATCCACCATGCTGTTCCCTCATGCTGTTCCCCCCAGTGCAGCCTCAGGCTACCGCTTGCAGTTTTTTTTCTCTTTCTGTCAACTTCAGCATAATAAAGACAGTCACTATTTATGAAACCCATCCCATGGCCAGGCCCTGCTGTAAGGCTCGGAGATGGCTCATCTCATGGTAATTTCACAAAGGAGGAGATTGAGGATCAGAGAGGGGCAGGGACTTGTCCAACATCACACAGCAGCCAAGGGGCAGAGCTGAGAGTTGAACCCAGCTCACTGTGCCCAAACCCATGAGGCCAGGCTGTGAGTTCCAGGTGGGTGAGGCTGGAGTTGGTGTTATTCTCCATGGTGTCCCAGGTACCCCACTCAGGGAGGAGATGGCCTCAGAGTAACAAACGTGTGTCATGGATTCAGGCCTGGGTGCAAGTCCCAGCTCAGGAACTCATGGGCCATGTGACCTTGGACAAGGCTCTCTCCACCGTCCTGTAGGAGGTGTCAGAACTCAGCCAGGCCTCCAAGGGGGATGGCCAGGGTTCTAGACTCACCCACTGCTCCTTCTTCTTTCTCTGCCCAGGAGTCGCCTCAGCAGGGGCCTCTGCCGTCCACACCAGGCCCGAGTGCAGGCGGATGGGGGTGAAGAAGTGTGACTCGGACACTGAGTAGCTGCCGGTGGTGCCTGCGGGGTCGGGGAAAGGACGGAGCATCAGGGAGGGTGCCATAGTCCCTTGAGGGCAGAACATCTATCAGACCAAGGCCTGGGGGACACAGACTATCTGGATCGCGTAAGGAGACAGGTGAGTGAACAGACGTGCAGAGCAGAGAGCTTGCCAGGAAAACTGATAGAATGACCAAAACAGCCCTGGCCGGTTTGTCTCAGTGGATGGAGTGTTGGCCTGCGAACTGAAGGGTCCCAGGTTCGATTCTGGTCAAGGGCACATGCCCGGGTCGTGGGCTCGATCCCCAGTGGGGGCCTTGCAGAAGGCAGCCGACCCATGATTCGCTCTCATCATGGATGTTTCTATCTCTCTCTCCCTCTTCCTTCCTCTCTGAAATCAATAAAAAAATATATAGTAAAAAAAGAAAGAAAGAAAAAAAAAATGAATGACCAAAACAGCAAGTCAGAAAGAACTGGGTAGATGGATGGGTGAGATCTCATGCCAGGTGAAAACATTAAAAGTGACACAGGAGATCTTTCATAACAAAGAGGAACAATTGACCAAGAGGATGCAGCATCTGTAAACCTTTCACGCGCCTAATAACAAAACCTTCGAATCCATAAAGCAAACGCCACAGTGCAAAGTGGACATCTCTCTCCAAAATCTACCGTTTACGGAAACATACAGGCAGAGAGACCAGCCAACTGGGGGAGTGGACAGAGTCCCCCAGACGTCCCTCCACTCTCAGTCCCTCTGGATCCCCCCAAACTCCACCTCTCCACCCTTCTCTGCTCCAGTCTCCGGGACCAGACCCAAGCAGCCGTTCCCGCCCGGCCCTTCCTCACCCGAAGCCCGGGAGGAGCTCCTGGAGTCGGGGTCACAGTCCAGCTGCGGGGAGAAGACCTCCGGGAAGAGGGCATTGCGTCGTTCCTCCGCCACCTCTTGCTCCCGCCTCAGGACGCTCTCCACCTCCCGCTCCAGCAGCTCAGAGGACTGGGACCTTTGCAGCCTCAGAGGGGGGGCCCCAGCCACTTCCCAGCCCCAGGTTCGGGGCGTCTCGGCCTTCTGGGGCACATCTGGGACCCCGAACCGCAGGGGACGCAGGCGGAAGTACTCCCATCGCACGACACCCCTGTTGGCCGGTGGGGGTGCCCCCGAGGGCTTCCAGGACTCCTGCTTTGTGCCTGAGGGTTTTCTAGAGGATTCCGAGAGATGCCTCTGAGACCCTGTGGCCTTTGCCACCGCCTTGGCCTCGTCTGCAGCGAGGCCGCCGGGCTTGCCCCGTGCGTGGAAGGCTGGGAGCCTGGGCTGGGGGGCCCCAGGGCTCAGGTACGGCTGGTAGGCGTCAGGGGGGATGCGGTTCACCCTCCTCAGCTCTGGAGAGGGGTCGGCCGCCCTGGCGTCTGGGGCCAGGCCAAGGATGGAGTCTGAGCTCAGTGCTCTCCTGAGCCCGGGCTGGGGGCCCCCGGAGAGGCAGTCGGGCTTGGACACCCAGCCCCCCTGCAGGCCCTCCCGACGGTGGTCCTCCTCGCGCTGCGTCTCCTGGGCCATGTCACGCTGCACATAGAGCGAAGGGCGCCCCCTCTCCCGCCGAGGGGCCGCCGTCAGGCTCAGCTTGGTCAGCAGGGGCCGGGTGGGTATCTCCACCAATTCCTGGGGGCCCGCTGCCCCCCGCAGCCCCCTCTGCTCGCGCAGAGCTGCCTCGCGCTCCTGGGCCACTCGGATCTCCCGCTCGATGGGTGTCTCCTTGGGGGCCTCCGGCGACTCCGCTGGGGACCGGGCACCAGGGTCTTCCAGAGCCTGGACGCCAGGCCAGGTGGGCAAACCGCGTACCCTCTTCTGTTCCATGACCACCTCCTTCACCTGGGGCTTGGCCGAGACGGCATAGCCATTGGCGAGGGGCGGTGTGCTCGGGGCCTGGGGGGCCTGGCTGATCCTGGGTGGGGCACACTCCGGGGCCACCCAGGCTGGCGGGGTCGGAGGGACCCTGGCATTTGCCTGCTCCAGGCTCAGGAACTGCTGCCTCGCTGCCAGGAAGTTGATCTGCTCCCTGTCGACCACGTTTTCCTCCAGGGGGGTGAGCTGAGGCCGTCCGGGGGTCCTGGGGCCCCCGTTGTCAGGGGTGCCGTGAAGCGTGGCCACCGTGCTGCTCTTCCTCACCGCTTGGCCCTGGATGACTGCCCAGCGCTCTTGCTCCAGGTCCGGTGGCCGCCTGAGCAGGGTGTCCCTGGTGTCCAGGTGGTAGGCCTTCATCGCCTCATCCTCATCGTCCTCCAGCTGCAGGGACGGCTGGCTGAGGAAGGTGCGCAGGCTGCACGACGCCCCTGTCCTCAGCACGTCCGGCGGGGCCTGGCGGTCACCCACCCACACCACAGTCTGGTCCTGGCCCCAGTTGCTGTCCGAGGGCTCCACATTCACCAGCTGGTATGTGTAACCGGTGTCCCCATTGAGAGCCAGGCCGGCCATGCCTGGGGAGTGGGGGATGCTGAAGATGGGGTATCTGGTCACTCGGTCCATGTTCTGGGGTTTCAGCCACCACAAGTTCTGGGGTGGAGACGCTCCCAGCTCCCTGAGGATGAGAAGGAAGCACACCACCAGGTAAGAGCACTTGGGGAGGGGCACAATGTCCAGTTCCTCCAAGGGCAAAGTCCTGCCCAAGCGGCCTCTGTGATTGGTTCAGAGATAGAGAAGTGACCCTGCCTGGCCAATCAGAGCACCCCCTCCCCCTGGCCTCTGTGATTGGTTCCGGGATGGACATAGGACTCAACCTGGTCAATGACATGAAATCCTGGCACATGACTGTGGAAATGGTACCCTCTTCCTGTTAGGCTTGTTAGGTTGGGGGAATGAAACTGATCAATTCTGGGGGCCACACATGCCCCCTTGTGGACACAGCCTGCTCAAGAGCAACCCCAACCCCAACACAACATCCTGAAAATGTTGTTTGAACTCCTGGATCCAGCCACACTTGAATCTCACCCCTGCACTGATCCAACGACTTGCCTCATGTCTATCTGCCATCTGCAGGCACCCCTGCTCATCTCCCAGACACTGCACATCCAGTCTTGGGGAGCCCCTGCTGCCCTAACCCTACTCCTCCCCTCTTTCACTCAGTTCACCTGTCTGGACCCAAAGCCATCCCTGGGCAGCCTCTCTGGGCCCCACCAGGCCCCCTGCCAGTACATATATCTACCTCTCTCCCAGGGCACACACATTCTGAAGTTCCCTCTGTGGTAGTTGTTGTTTTTAAAATATATATTTTATTGATTTCAGAGAGGAAGGGAGAAGGAGAGGGAGAGATAGAAACATTAATGATGAGAGAGAATCATTGATCAGCTGCTTCCTGCACACCCCACACAGGGGACTGAGCCCACAACCCGGGCATGTGCCCTGACCAGGAATCAAACCGCGACCTCCTGGTTCATAGGTCGATGCTCAAGCACTGAGCCATGCCAGCCGGGCTGATTGTTGTTTTTCTGAAATATTTTATTGATTTCAGAGAGGAAGGGAGAGGGAGAGAGAGACAGAAACATCCATGATGAGAGAGAATCACCGATCAGCTGCCTCCTGCAAGTCCCCCACTGGGGATCGAGTCCACAACCCGGGCATATGCCCTTGACCGAAATCGAACCTGGGACTCTTCAGTTCGCAGGCCGACGCTCTATCCACTGAGCCAAACCGGCTAGGGCAGTGATGGCGAACCTTTTGAGCTCGGCGTGTCAGTATTTTGAAAAACCTAACTTAACTCTGGTGCCGTGTCACATATAGACATTTTTTGATATTTGCAACCATAGTAAAACAAAGACTTATATTTTTGATATTTATTTTATATATTTAAATGCCATTTAACAAAGAAAAATCAACCAAAAAAATGAGTTCGCGTGTCACCTCTGACACGCGTGTCATAGGTTCGCCATCACTGGGCTAGGGCTTGATTGTTGTTTTTAATTGATTTGAGAGGGAGAGAGAGAGAGAGAGAGAGAGAGAGAGAGAGAGAGAGAGAGAGAGAGTTGTTGTTCTACTTACTTATGCATTCATTGGTTAATTCTTGTTTGTGCCCTGACCAGGGATCAAAACACAACCTTGGTGTAACAGGATGATGCTCTAATCAACTGAGCTACCTGGCCAGGGCCCTGTGATTGTTTTTTTGTTTTTTTAAAAAATAAATTGACATTTATTTTATTTTATTATTATTTTTTTTTGTTAGTCCTCATCTGAGGATATTTTCCCCCCATTGATATTTAGAGAGAGTGGAAGGGAGGGGGAGAGACAGAAAGAGAAATACATCCATGATGAGAGAGAATCACCGATCGGCTGCCTCCTGCAAGTCCCCCACTGGGGATCGAGCCCACAACCCGGGCATATGCCCTTGACCCTGGGACCCTTCAGTCAGCAGGCCGATGTTCTATCTATCCGCTGAGCCAAGCCGGCCAGGGCTCTGTGATTGTTTTCATCTGACATTTCCAGATAGTTCCAGCAAGCCTGCCTCTCACGGAAGGATGTCCAGTGGGAAAACTGAGGCCCAGAGTGGGCAGCAACTGGCAGAGACTTCAGCTTCCCAGGCGCCACATCCTGGTTCTCTCCTGCACCTTGTCCCGTCCCAGACAACCCCACCCCGCCGCACCTCAGCCGCATAAAGCCAGGATAGGCGAGGAATGCCTGGACCTTATCCTGCTAGGCCAGGCCACACCCTAACCCAGTGCCCCAGGGAGGCCCATGGCTGCCTCCCCCTCCCCCAGTGTCCAGGAGCTTTCTACAAGGTCACACACCTGACCTCACATCTCTGTGGTTCCTGGTATCTCCATGGTTCAGTTCTCACTGCTTTCCCCAGGGGCTCGAGGCCTCCATCTGGCCTCAGCACAAATTCCCAAACTCTGTAGGTGCCTCCACCTCAAATCTGAACCGCCTCATCCCCCTGAAGCTCCCTTTGCCTGAAGATCCATCATTTCTGCACCTCCACAGCCTCCTTAGCTGCAGCCCACAGGACACCTCCTCCAGGGAGCCCCCCCAGATTGCCCCATTGTTGACGCTATCATCTAAGCCTGACCCAGCACCTAATGTTAAGCGTCACCTTTTTACAGCTGAGAAAAGGAAGACAGGCTGTTCCCAACTTCTCAAGCAGCTCTCGTTCTCTGCCCTGGACCTTGGTTAAACCAGAGCTGCTATGCACGTCTGCTACCTTTTTATACCAACTTGCTAGTAACGCTAAGTGTGGTTCTAAAAGGAAAAACACAGCATGTCCTTGAACTGGGGAAGTGTTACCAAGCAACATAAAATCGATCATGGGAACAGTGTTACAACTAACAAGGTTATCGATCATGCAATTTTTGTATCTATCAATTGTTGAAACTATAATTAGAAAAACAATGTTTAAAACAGCGGCTTGGACAGTAAATCCCAAGGCACTGGGCTGAGCCACTGGACCAATGACGGAGCAGTCCCCCACAGAGATTTTCTCTTTGGAAGTTATTGGGGGTAAACATGTCTTTGAAAGGGGGATGAGTTTACTTAAGGCCTGTCTTCTCCCACCTCTTAGCCCAGGACCCTCCCTCTCAGGGGCCCCCGGTGGGCGAGCACCTCTCCTGCAGCCCAGCCAGAGTCCGGTATTCAGCAGGAATTTAATAATGGCTGGCTGACAGGGTGTGGTCTCTGCAAACATTACTCACTCCAGGTTCTCAGGATGTGGGGGTTGGGTTATTTTAGCTGCAGACCGGGCTGCCCCTCTGGGGCTCCCCTGTAGACCACAGCTTGTCCTCTGGGTCAGCTCTGTCCCCAGGCCCTGGGGCTCCCTGGGAAGGACAGGTGTGGCAGGGGTGACTCAGAGTGTTTGCTGAGTGAATAGCTGGATGTTCATTCACCAGGATTTATAACCCACAGGGCACATTCATTCTTGGAAAAGAGAGCTGGGTCTCTCCTCCAGGTGAGGGGAGGGTGGGGCACCCGTCCTCCTCGGCCCACTTCTCCCAGGCGATTCACTGAGGACAACAAGGGGTGGGACTCAGTCTGGGTCTTGGGTTCAAGGCCCCAGGGCCCCTCTCACCTATGACCTTGGGCAAATCTCAGCTCACCCCTCATCGTATTTGCTCCTCACAAGATCCTATGACAGGGGACCATTCCTGTCCCCAGTTTGCAGCAGAGGGAACCGAGGCCCAGAGAGGAGAAGTTGCTCACCTCAGGTCACACAGGAGTGACAGGGAAACAGGTCCTGAAGTTCAAACCCTCACTCCCAGTTGGTCGCTCTCCTTCAGGAAGCCCTCCTGGATTGCTCCTTCCCAGCCCCACCTCCACACCCATGTCAATACAAAACCGAAACGGGGTTTATGGCCCCTGGGGCCACACATTTGCTTGCTCATCACCGAAACTGGCCTCCTGCCATCAGGGCAAAGGTCTGCTGGAGAGGCTGCAGCTCAGACAGGGAAGGTCACACAGCAGGAAGGGGCTCCTCTTCCATCACTCAAGGCTACAGCCTCCCAGGCCCTGGCTGGGCAGAGCCTCCGTCCCTTTGATACACAACTGAGTCTCTGTGTCTCCTGCTGGACAGAGCCTCTGTGCTGACAGGAACACACTGCCCCCCTCCATCCCGCAATCTGGTGCCCTGCCCGGTCCATGAATCTGACCCGGTGCCTTTTGGTGTGTACCGGACCACTCGCAACCACAGCGCTCCCAGCCAAAGGGTGGGGGCCAATTGGAGGGATACAGAACTTATGGCTAAAGAAGTAATTGACTCAAATAGCATACCGCAAACGAGCTTGAGAGAGGGGGGGAGTTTTAAGTGGACATCACCACCTCGGTTGGGAGCTTGGACCCTAGAGTCTAATTCCTGGCTCTC